GGCGTTAGATACAATTTTGAAACGGCACATTTGACAAAAAAGTTGAAACAGTTCCCTCTTTCTTCATTTATTCGGGTACAGTTACCACCCTAATTATTTGAATGTAATATTGGGTTATTGTGTTAAAATGAGAGGAAAAAATTTAAAAAAAGGAGAAAAAAGATAAGTGAGTTTCTNATATATATATATATATATAGGTAGATAGATTACATAACCAACATATAGAATCGGCAGCCATTTAACTATAAAAGACAAGTCATTATTGAATTACATATAGAACTGTTTTACATTATTACTCAATATAGCGAATTAATTATAGTGAATAATGTCAGCTAGGAACAGAATTATAGTAAAGTGTCATCATATTTAACTCAAAAAACTTACACCTAATACTCACTTTTTTCTTCTTTTCAAATACTTCACTATTGGAGCATGCACGGAAGGAATGGTAATTCCCATGATCAAATCCGAATTATAGTATCATATATTTAACTCAAAAAAAAACGTACACTTAATATTTACTCTTTTCTTCATTCCAATACTTCACTACCGGAGCATGAACGTTAGTGATCGGAAAATCATTTCTTCGCCAGGAATAGTGATGCCCATGTCGTGATCAAAGCCAAATTCTTCCTCGGCGCAACGAAGGAGGCACTGAAACTCGGGATAAGTCAAAAAAGAAATTGGAACCACGTATCGAGTTCGATTTTCTCCTACGTAAACTGCAAAATGTCCTTTTGGTACGTCAATGGGAAGGCTAGCTGTAGTCTTCGTCGTCGTCATAGCTGTGTTTCTTACCCAAACTCGAACACTTCTTTAGAATTTGCTTCAATACTGCAACCTGTGGCAGCTTGTTTGATTTCCTGATGGCCATGTTTGCGCACTATATATATTCTTGAAAAAATACTAAAGAAAGTTGAGAACTTTAGAAAGAAGAAGAAAGATCAATAGGAGTACTTACTTTAGCTTTGAAAGAGAGGGATATTAGCTTTGGGATAGAAAAAAGTAGTGGAGCTATTTATGGAGAAAGATTTCATTGTTTATGAAGAAACCAACGTTTTGTAAATGAAACAAAACAAGATTAATTACATGGGATTCCCTTAAGTGTACTTAGCTAGTCACCAACAACCTGATTAATCTTGGATGATAAAAATATATTTTAATAACCGACGGGTTATTCTAAGCTTTTACAGGATAGGAAGTACAGGGGAAATTTTTACGAAGTTACAAGAAATGCAAATCTATGTATAAGTTGGCAGAAAAAATTAAATGAACTAGACCATATTCAAATATCAATTCATTCCTCGAAAGAATATGATGACACGTACAAGAAATTACCAGTCGATTAGCATTTTTTTTTACTTTATATGTGTTTTTAAATTTTACAAATGAGGGTAATCATCGGAGAAAGTAGCACTACTTGTTTGCACTTGGAATAAGGAGAATTCAGCTGTACGGCCGTATCGATATTAAACCAGTAATGATTCTCGCTAGAAAATTTAAATTAATTAATCGGTCTAGCGGATATCGGGTGAAAATCAGGAAAGAAATTAAATTAATAATTATTGCAGTAACATAGAATACACCTACGACAAGAAGCAGCTTTATATTTTTGGTTTCCCGCCCGTTGTTCGGTATACGCATTGGAGTCCTACTATATTCGGTTTCGCGCCACGTAGGGTCCTATTCGGGGGGGGGGGGGGGGGGGG